TTTTTGTATTATTGCTTTGAGCAAAAGGGGGCTTTACTCGTCAGGCATGGCTTGTGCTGCTGATAGATCTCAGCTGCAGAGCAAACACTGGACGTGTTTGCCTCTCAGTCAGAAGGGTCCATTTTGGGGCTTCGTCTTACTTCAACGGCAAAACCTGAAACAGAGCGAAAAAACATCAGTTTCGCTGCAGTATTTTCAAGGATGAATGCAAGCGTTGAAAAAACAAACAAATGGTCAAAAACCCTAAACACAGACAGTTAACCACGGCTTCTTTATACTGAGACGCGTAAAGAGATAATATAATTTATATTTTGCATGATTTAAAAAAAGATGGGATGTGAGACATATGTTAATAAAGATCCTACTACAGCAGGGGTCTCAAACTCGCGGCCCGCGGGCCAATTGCGGCCCTCGGGACGATATTTTGTGGCCCCCGCCTTCATATGAAAGTGTAATGTTAGTGCGGCCCGCGAGTTCTATATTGTAGCAACCTCGCTGTTAGCAGCCACTTACAACCTCCACCCCAACGCCGACCGTTCCGTTCGCCGGTCGGACCGTCAGTGTCATCCCCCCCGTCGGCCATAATGGTCTGGCCCTATGGCCCGCGTTCGGTCGAGGTGGGGTGCATCTGGCCCGTACCTGACTTGAGTTTGAGACCCCTGTACTACAGCGTACCAATTGTGTTCCTACATCCAAAAGATATAGCTTGACTGTTCATGGCCTTGATTAGCAGCAAATTCATGGGCTCCTGGGAGAGTAGGAGCTCTTTAAGTAACATAGGCAGCACTCACATTATAGAGTTATGCCCTTTTTAAAGTCAGAGTCACAGGTTAAGGTTATTGAAGGATGAATGTTCAAGCCCCCTTCCCTCCCATGCAGCACGAGAAAGTGATGAGACAAGTGGTGACGAGCACGTAAACTGAGTAGGACAGTCGGTAGTGGGACACTTGCTGTCAAGTGCATGTGTTGGGTATGACAGCCAACGGATTAGGGAACCAACGTGAAGAGCAAATGGAGGCTGCGCTGCGATGTGATTGGCCGGCCCGGTTGTCACTCACCAGTTGGATATTAAAGGCTGACCATAGAGGCATCAAAGAGGCAATAGTTTCCCCAAAGAAACCATGCTGGTTCAGCAGGCATACGCCTTATGGTAGAGGGACATTATCAATGAAATAAATACAGATGGACCAGGTTTAAAAGGCTAGTTGTGTCGTTAATTGCTAAAGCTAAATATGGCTGACCAGCGTCTACAACCCAGCTGTTCCTTATATGCACACTGCGCTGACAGCTAGCGCTGCACTGTACACATAGCAACTTATCACACAACCAACGTTTCGATGTCATTGTTTTATGTAATGTCGAGTGTGCGGTGGGTTGACTGGCAATCTGTTTACTTTATTGTGGGCGCGTGGTAACGCTGTTTAACGTCATATTTAACATTACGGATTCACGTCACATTAGTGTCACATTGCTGGTCTGTGTAACGTTAGTGCAGCAATGCAATCACAGAACATCCCGGGTGCATATTTAAGATAAAGTCACGGTATTAGTTTCATTGGCAGGACAGTTGAACACAGAGTCAGCGATTATGTAACAGTGGCAGTGCAACTAACGTGGTTCTGATTTAACGGTATTAACGTCGGTTAGGTAGCGTCACTTTACAGCCAAATGACAAGGTTGGCCGGATCGCCGACCTTTAACGTTAGCTAATGAGCTAACGTTACCGAGAAATGCTCGCCTGCTGTCATTGAACAGGGTGTTGTTATACGTTTGAAGTGAACGTTACTTGACAAGCATGATTCAGGTTGGACAGGATAAGTTGTATGGCGATCTAACGTTAATTAATTTAATGCCAATAGCGATGTTCTCCCGTTCCGATGAGGTCTAACGTTAGTTTGGTGTCGGTGAGGCGAACCAGGCTTTTCGATCCAGTGACATTAGAGCCCTCGCGGTTCTCCGCTAGTTGTTAGTGAACAGTTAGCGTTAGCTAGCAAACACTTTTTACGTTAGGCCGTATCTAAACTTTCACCGGGAAACGTGACATTAGCAAAAGTCAGTCACATATTATCCGATGAAAATATAAACAACGAACGTTAGCTAACGTTAGCTTTCGGGGACGCTTGTTGTTGTGACCGACGGGAGGCGGAGCGGCCGTCCGGCAGGCGAACGTCGCCAGGGCATTGTCAGACGTTTCCCTTTCAAAATGTACGCCATATCGTCATACGGCAAAATAGTAAGCTTGCCTAAACACAAACCCTAAACGGGAGCCAAAAAACCCAGCGGGTTTGCTGGTTGGCCTACCTGCCGCGGGCTGAAGTAAAGGAGGAAGGGGAGCGGCTATTTTTCTCCCGCTGCCGTTCCGAGCTCGAGCTCTGGAATCCGCTGCGGTAGCATCGCGTATCATGGACGCCGACAGAAATGGCGCTGTTTTCACATCCAGTGCTTTGCCAATAGCGTCAAGGAAACCGGCGACATTTCGGCTCAAGCTAGCGGAAGGTCATTCGTCGATGACACTTAATACCCAGAACCACAATGTCCTCTATCCAAAAGCTTGTTTCATTCGGATAGGGACTCCTGAATGCGCGACCCTTCGCGTTCGTATCCAGGCAACAAGGCGAACCTCTGCCGTCCTATTCGAACTGGTGTGATTCCTCCGCGAGGGTATTGCGTCAGAAGCCCAACTAGTACTTATTATTTGTACTCAAACTCTTCAAATGTGGACATTGAGGAAATTAAAACCAGCTCTGAAAATTGAATTCATGATTGAATCATCGCGCTTTTAAAAATGCGAAATTAAAACTAAACAAAAATACCTCTTGTCCCGTAAATACACCTTACCATACGGTTACAGTTACTAAAATGTTTTTTCTTCCCATTACTGTCATACATATTTACTTAACAACGCATTAATTTAAGTTTATAGTTAAAATATCAACATAATCAACAAAATGTAGATAACCACAACAGAAATTACTCTTGCAGTTTTACCATTTAAATACCCCATTTAGTCTTTAATTTCTTGGACAAACTGAAATACTACTCATTGTCCTTAAAAAATTACACTTTTCAGTCAAAGTTTTGAGAAAGCATCCAATTTACGAGTTGTTCATTCATTTATATTGCAGTCATAGACCAGGCAGAGATACAAGCACATTTTCCTCTGTTAGAAATTGCCCTTTCCAATACATTCCTTCTTGTTAGCTTTACTAAGGTTCTTTTATTCTTTATTTTGAACCACAGTTTAAATCTAAGAGTTCTGGCTTTCATTTCCAAGCAAAAGCAATTTGACTAATATCAGCATTGCTTTCCTAGTTTAAAAGCCTCTCTTCCTCTCAAAACCTCTCAGCTGCCACTAACCATGAAGTCTGTGTAAATGTTGGGGGTTGGGTCCTATTCTTTAGACTGAGCACCTGCTCCTGATCGAGGGTCTATAGTGCGGCGTACTCCACGTGCCCTTCTTGCCTTTGGGGTTATGACCTCTGCGACGAGATGAGTTAAAGTCTTTAGAAAATATGAAAACGTCTGGCACCACACACACACACACACACACACTCCCATGCTCTAAAAGATGTGATTGTCTTTAAATGTATTTGTGCCGAGTAGACAGAGAGCAAAAGAGATGAGGACCGGAGTATGTGGAGTCTGCGAGTGTGCAACGCTTCCTTTCCCAGAGCCTGTCAACAGACCGATTATGAGTTCTGCTTTTGATCTTTGTTGGAAACCAGAGCCGTGCAGCACAAACATAAATTGATTCTCGGCAACGCTGAGGCCCGATCAATGAGGAAGTTGTGCTGGTTTTCGCCACCAGGCCGCGGATACAATTTCCACGAACCTCGGCCACAGAAAGAAGGTGATAACTAACCATTGGCAGACCAGCATCTAAATGTGGCCGCTCCGTGAGCTGACTGCTTCCTCACTTGCTGGCTTAATCTGAAAGTGTGGAGCAGATGGCAGGGCCAAAAGATGCCTCATAATCCTCTTGCATGGAGAGTGTTAGCGTGCGGGGGAGGAGGGGAGGCTGCGTGGGCTAAGTGGGGATTTTCCTCCAACGTCGTGAAGGAAAACTTGTGTCGCACACAGCTTTCCACCTCATCATGAGTTTACAGAGCCGCCCGTGGTCGGGCTGGATATCATCGGCAGGGTGGGTCATTGAGGTAAATCCTTTATTAGTCAGAGCTCAAAAGCTAAAAAGTGCTGTGTCCAAACACTCTGTGAACAGGCTCATTTATTGTAATGGTTGAATTACAGCAAGAAAACATTCTTGAATTGAATTCCCTATTATCATTGCATCCATACATTTTGTAAAGGGACAGTTGACCCCAAAATAAAAAAAACATAAACATAGTTGCACTCTTACTTGTTTGGTGCGAGTTGCTGAGAGACGTCAGCCCTGCAGATGTCTGCCTTTTGTCCAAAGTAATAGAACTAGAAGGCTCTCAGCTTGAGGTCCTCAAAGCGACATAAACAAAATACTTAACAGTCTCTTTCCAGAAATCATGACCCAGTAATCTCATGATAATCCACAGTTATTTAGGGGAGCGGTTTCATGTAGGAACTATCTGCTAGCTCAGCTCAGAAGAAACTAGATGGCGACACATTTTTAAACGCACAGTGCCACAAGCAAAGGCCTCTCGTCCACAAGGAGATGCGTTTCTTTTTGACTTGTTGTGCAAGTGTTTATTTATCCAGATGATGACCAAACTCTTGCATCAAGTCCAGGATTCATCAGAGGTATTGATGCAAACACCTCTCCTGTTACGTTGACATGCTTCTTGCGAAACTAATCCTTTTATAGATTTGAAATACTTCCCTTCTGAGTGACCAATCGTGAGCGTGAGCCCTCAATCAAGGAGACCAATCAGAATCTTTGCGGAAGAAGA